ATAAAATTAAACTATACTGATTAGCGATGCCTTCATTGGTGGTAAAAATACAAAGGAAAGCAAGTCAGGCTATTGTCACCTTGAGAAGAGCCAGGAAGAGACACAGGGAGAGCTTCTCGGTTGCTGGCAATACTCTATTTCTTGATAGGGCTGGTAGTCACAGGGGTGCTCACTTCATAATAACTCATGGGCTGTACATGTTTTATGAACTTTCTGTAGATATACATTTCAGAATTTAAAAATAAAGTTTAAAAAATTATGTCACCCTTCGGTGTACCTATTGTATCCTGAGCCTACAAAGTGCAAATTTCTCAAAATCACTTACTCCTTGTCTCTTCCAGTGGTTCTTAGAGGAGAATGTTTTTCAGTCAGGAGATTTTGTTGTAGGAGGACAGATGCCCAGGCCTCACCACGTTCAACTGAATCAGAATCTCCCGACAGTGGGACCAGAACATGGGGGTAAAGTTTCCTGATTTCACAGGTGACTCTGAAAACAATCTCTGGTTACAAACTACCGCCTAGACTGGAAGCTCCCTGAAAACACTGAACGTGCCGTGTTCACACCACCCACATCTAGCACAGCACCTGGTATACAGCAGGCACTCAAAATTCGTTTGCCAAAGTAATGACAAAAATGCTTATTTCCAAAACAAATTTTATGCCTCATGGTTTGGGTCTGCATCACTTCTAAGTAAAACATTTGCACAGTGTAGGTGTTCATGCTGAATGACGGTGAAAGGTGCAGGCACCGGCTCCTAAAGGATGTCGTGTGTGGTCTGAGACCCTCTTCGGTCATAACAGTCCATCAAGAGGCAACGTAAGGCACATAGCAAAACAAGCGGGCTTTGAGGGCTGCCTCATACCCACCAACAGGTTTTTTTTCACTTCAGACCATCAAAACATCAAGGGTCAATGGCACTGTAGTGCAATAAATGCAATGTGTCCTTTAATCAATGGAACACATGTGTATGTGTCTTTACAAATATAGGGTTTTGTGTATTATATATAAACTATATTTTATTAGCTAACTCACAGTAACCTCTCAATGTTTAAGATGTCAGTTTACTGTTAGAAATTACAAGTAGCTAAATGCAAACGTACGCAGTGGGAAATTCCACATTTCTATGTATTAGCCTACTCTTCTATCAATTCCTACAAAAGTCTCTCATTGGTCTTTGTTAAAATATTTACCTTAACTACCTGACACTACTAATTAGCTTGTAATTATGAACCATTTTTGACATTCATGGCAGAAAATCAGTTATACAAAATTTGGACGTTGAGACGATACCTAACTCGGAGTAGAAGCAAGCACCGAACTTCATGATGAAAAAGAAAACTTGTTTACAAGTCTAAAGTGCAAGGACTCGTCGAGCTTAAAGAAAAGCCCCTCCCACACCACACACACACACACACACAAATATGGTAACACAGAAGAGGAAAAAAGGAAAGAGAAGAAAGCATGGCTGACACTTAATGTCTAATTTATCAGCAAAAATCTTAGAAACAAACTTTTTCCTAACTTCTAAAATTGAAAAAATTACTTCCAAAGGAATGTAACCAAGGAAAATAAATTTGGGAATGCTACATCTATGAGATGGTTTACTGTCCTGAATCAATACGTTTGTGAGACTGTCCTGCTGGGTGGATTACAATGTGCACATCTCCACCTAAAGCACATTGAAGACAAGTTTCCACACCCAGTTGGTTAAGAAAAACACAAGGTAAGGAAAAGTCAGACTGACTTACTGCTCTGTTGTGGCAAACAACTTAATTGGGTTTTCTACCCAAGTCATACAGTGCCCAGAATTTAACCTTATGGGAACCAGCAGAACACCACAAAGTACACTGCTTTCGCTTGGATGCTGTGCCCAGTCTGTGCGCATCTGGTGTGAATTGCTGCCACATTCACAGAATGAATAGAACAGCCTTTCCTGCAGGGCAGGGCTGAGGACAAAATGAGATCTTTCGTCTCTATGATTGGTGCTCCTTCAGCATATCTGAAGGCAAGTGGCTGAAAACAACTTGCCTCCTAAAGTCGCATCCAGTGGTACCAGCTGCGATACCTTCTGCTGAGAAAGGGTAGAAAAGCTCCATCAAACATCTGAACGTCTAGGAAGAAGTATGGCCATGCTTCAGAACTGATATTTAGGAGGAGTTAAAACCGAAGAAATTATGTAAAAGTAAAAACAAAAATGCTACTCACTAACCAAAAGTATTTCCACTGGGAAAAAAAAATCCTCTCTCATCTCCTGGTAGGGTGGAACCTGGAGATCAGATCCACTCTGTTTCTTGCTCCTCAAACCTGAGCCAACAATCTACAAGAGATCATCATAACAGTTTCTAATTCTGCACTCATTTTGATAAGACTTAAAATGTTTTTACCATCCTATTCTGGGACATGTGAATGGCTAACTTCTAAATCAAACACAGCCAGGCCACTCTGTGTCCACAGCCTCAACTCCTTCTGCATCAAGTGATGTAACTTTGCTGGGCTTTAATGGGAGAAAGCTGACTCACTACACGGCATTCTGAAATACAGCACACCGAATTCAGCCTTCAGCACCGCGGCCACACTGGGAACAACAATTCAGTTAGAGCAATAGAATCTGTAACTTTATGTTGCTATTCTACATTTTTATTGGCTATACAGTTTTGTTGGTTTTTAGGTTATCAATTTGTTTGGGTTATATTGGTGTGTAAGACCTATGTGCATAAGTACAACTACTTTTATATTTAAGCTACAGTGCATTCAAAGTGATTAAGGCAGTGCTGGGCTTCTGCAACTTGGCTGTTAGGTTTTTACACTGTTTTTCAATTTTAATTATCCCAAACATTACAAAAGTTTGAGAAATACTGCAATTTTAATGATATTAAGAGATCTTCAAACCAAAACGTGCCCATCTAACAATATTTGTAAATAAACTGGGGCATAATGATATATAGGGCCAGTCCTTCAATCGAATCATATCTGAGTAGAGGTAAAATCTCCCTTCAGAGTTTCCCCAGCTTCTGGAGACCTTTGCTTAACACCTTCCTCCCCTGTCCCTTAAAACTCACTGTGAGTCTAAGAAGAAGACTTGGCCCCATTTCTAAGCAAGTGACTGATCATGAAAACAGCTCGAAAAGATTCAGTACAAGAGATGAAGGATTCAGAAACCAGATGTTTGTCCAAAAAAGTGGTGATGTTTAGGGGATGGGTGAGAAGTGGAAAGAGTAGAGGAAAGCATGACCCCTGTCTTAAATGTCTGAAGGGCCACCATGGAGCTCCAAGTGGTAGCTCTACAATTACAGGGGGCGAGTCACAAGGACACATATTTTGGTTTAAGACCAAAACACTTGAAGATGACCACCACTTATCAAAGAGCCCCTGCATGCTAGGACTCGGCTAAGTGTTTCATATGCATTATAAGGTTCATGTGGAACCTTCCAGCTACTGGCCTTGACCTCTAAACTAAGAAGAGATGAGTTTACTTTGAGTTACTTCTTAAGTTCCTTCTCTCACAGACAGAGGCTTAACGAACTTGAGTATTACCAGTAGTAAGTTTCCATAACTCTTTTTTTCTTTTCTTGATTCCTCAGCAGATGAGGTAAAACATGGTTAAGATGACTGGCAAGGATACTGGGGAAGAGAGCATTAATCACTGCCTTTAGGAAATTATTACATGGCTATAACTTTGAAATAAGCAAAGTAATCTGAAATTTGTAAAACATACATAATAAAGGAAGAAATAAATCGATGACAATATTTTAAAATTTCTACTGTGATATATTTTAGTTGCAAGTGGTTATAATTTAGTCAACATATAAAGGTACCACAGTAGGTCGTAACTATAGATTATTTTATTTACATCGAGATGTTAGTAAATGTTATAATGTAATCAAAAGTACTAAAGTTGATCTCACAAATCAGTATTTTCCCATTCCTTCAGTCTCTAAGACAGCAGCATCCAACAAATTACAGTACAGCTAGTGTACTGCTTTTGGCTGCAGGAGATATGGCAAATATGATAAAATACCCTGGATTAGAATAAAAATTGCAGCATGTCTTAATGAGTGAAAGCATATTCATCTAAATTATAGCTTTAAGCTATATTTCCAACTCAGAATTCAAAAGGTATGTAGATTTTACTTAAACTATATATGAGATAAAATTTCTAAAGATAAAGCTTAAAAGAGGAATAAATGCTAAAGATCAACAAAACTAAGTCTTAGCCATGTCAGAGAACTAACTCAAAGCAGACGCTGAAGACATTAGGGGGCTTAGAATAATCCCGAGATTTAAACAGACACGTTCAAAATAAAGGTACAAGAATTTGGTTACAAAAGATGTCTCAAGAGAAAACTTCAGTCAGGCATCTCAGACACGAGTGAAATTGATAAACTGTTAGCACGTAAATATACTGCATCTTTTCTTTTGAATAAAAACTTATTTCAAAACTGAAACGTGAAGGGGCAAGGAACATTTGGCTTTTGCGTGAACTTATTCTACTTCCGCAAATCTACCCCACTGTCCACCTGGCTGCCTCAACTCAGAATGATATTTTTAGACACCAAACCCACCTACTCCCACCTATCAAAATATCTTATTTATGGCACAAAAGTAAAATTAATCATCAACATCACTTGCCAAAAGTACTGGTTGATGGGATAAGGGCATGAACAAGATGACAGTGGTCCCAGCCCTCATGGGGCTTGTAATTTTCTTTTTCCTTAGAACATTCTATGGGGAAGACCCTCCTATAGATTACTGAGGATTCTAAGAACTCCATCTAAACCTGAGGAACCACATCTGATCACAAAACCTGGCCGGTTCTTAAAGACAGACATGGAGACAGACAGATCCTTTCCCTTTCTCATTTCCAGAAGCATCTCCTGAGATCACTGAACCTGAAAGGGGAGGGGGTCCTAGCAGTTACCGAACCTGACCTTCCCTGTGCAGATGAGGAAACCAAAGCCGGGCAAGGCAGCTCTGAAGAATGTGACTGCACAGACCTTACCATGCACGTGTAGAGGATAATGCGTTTCACGTCAGGAACCATACACAGATGTGCTAAAACTATCTTTACACCTACAGTGACTGATGAATGACCGCAACCTGCATTTCCCAAATAGAAATGTCTAGCAGGTGTGGCTGCAGCCATGCTGGAGCTCTAGGTTGCTGATCTATGGCTGATGTAAGCCTCAGGGTTCAGAATGGACCCCGTTGCCTCACAGGTGATAGAACAGCAGTTAAGAACACAGACATTCAAAGGCTAAGGAGAAAGGCCTCAGGGTCCAGCCCCACCTCTTCTGACTGGTGCAAGGGGACAATTTCTTTATCCCCTCGGGGTCTCAACCTCCCCAGCTATGAAATGGGGAAGACAATGAAGACACATTCCACAAGGTGTAAGAAGGGTTAAATGAGACAAAACACATACAATATCTCACACAATGACTGCATGTAAAATATCTTTAAAAATGGTAGTAATGCTGAGAAGAAAAGTACCCCTAATCCTTAGGGTAATGGTTTACTTTATCAACAGAAGAGGTAAAAACAGAAGTGGGGGGAGCGTGGACGGTGAGGGGCTGAGGAGGAGGAGACCTGGCCAGGCAGTCCACACCCACAGCAACTCCCCCGCCCTCCCTACAATGAAGAAAGCAGTTGGACCACCACTGCCCGAGGGAATCTAGTTTCCTTTATTTTATATCCCAGGACCATAAAATATCCATTCCCATAGTTTAACACCTCATGGAATATTGATCTTTTCTCACAACTGCCAGTGTATCACTGTGTCTTCCAAGTAGCTCTTCTCTTCCCCCAGCCCTTTAGAATTCTTTATTCATCAAATGGAAACATCTCTTCCCACTGCGTCCAAAGAGCTTATTACGCAGCTGTGGGATAGCAGGTCTGAGTCCCCTGTTTTAAGGACATGAGATGAAGAGAAGAATCAGATTTACAGAAGCAAGTCCTGCAGAAGGGTCATTCTCTCCACAATGACGAGTTAGCACATCATCTTTGATTTATCTGAAATATAATCCAATTTTTCAAAACACATATTTTCACAAATATACAGGAACAACCCTATCCAAACTTAACTCCTACAAAACTTCCCTTGACTATCGACAGAGTTGGAGGTAAAATTATTTTCTGGGCTATTATTTAACGAATTTATTGTATGTCCAAGACCCCTAACCTCAGGACACACTCAGTCTGGAGCAAAAGTCAGACCCAGTATACCATTAATTACAAAGATAAGTGTTACCTGCCAGAGGTAAGAAAAAATGCTGTGAGTAAGCAGAGGGGAGAGTTATAAGTTTGACCTCAGGCCTTGGCTTCAACATCTGTTCCCCTTGGGAAGCCTTTTCCATCATCCTGGCCAGTGTGGTCCTCCCGCCCCATCTCATTATCATGTCATTTACACCCCTTCCACTGAAACCATCGTGTGTGTGTGTGTGTGTGTGTGTGTGTGTGTGTGTGTGTATGTGTGTGTGTGTGTTTTCTCTCTCTCTCTCTCTCATGTAAGAATCTTGAGGGAAGAAAAACTGTACACCCAGTACCTGGAACAACAACAAATATGCTCTCAATCAACAACTCTTTGAGACTAACACCCCTGAGGTCTGGTAAGAGACTCCATAGAAAGGTGATATTTGAAGAGGGTCTTGAAGAATCTAACAGTCAGCAGAGCAGAGAAGGCTTTGCAGACCTAGGATTCAATGTTAAATTACCATGTCCAATCATCACACCTGCCTTACATAAATGTGCACTGCTGTTCACTACTATGTGCAAGTATCGTATACATCTCATGGATTTACACATTGCTTTCCTCACTACAAGTTCCAAGAGCTCAGTTTCTATTATTACCATAAAGATCTATCTTTCAGTAGAGGAAAAAAACCTATAATCTGAGTTCTTATGGAGACTCATTTTTACTTAAAAGTTAACTGTCACTGTAATTTGGTTTAGTTTAACATCTCAAAGAGACTGACCTAACCAAGGGGACTCAGTAAACTAGGCTGAGTAAGAGAACCTCACAAACTTCAAATTCTTGGGTTCTTTTTTTTCTTTTAGAACTTGATTTCTCTTAAATTCAAGTTAACTCAAGCTAATTTTCAAGTTAACTTAATAGAAGAATGGAAGTACAACCTATCAAATTAATCGAAAATTCTCCCCCATGCCAAAAAATCTGATCAGCTTATTTACTGTTGACTGAGGGTTAAAGGGTATAAACAACATAACATGACCATGACCATGACCTATTACCTTGGAATAAAAGAGGCAGAGACAGATAGCTTTTTTTTTTTTTTTTTTGGCTCCTGGCAAACACTTCAGCAGAGCCACATACCCACCCCTTGCTATGCAGGACATTTGCAGCCTTGTCAATTTTCCAGAAGACAGCTTCTGGGTAGGAAAAAGCCATCACACTCTCTATAAACAACCACTTAGGCAGAGGAAGGGGTATACTTTCAGACCAGAAGGAATCTATCTAACTTAGGTGATCTGCCAACAGACAGGACACTGAGGCTGAGATCCAAGGTGAACTTTTCTCCAGTCCACAGTCAGTAGAACCTAGGGATGCTGACTTGACCAGGCACTGTTTCTACTGTCCTTGGACATCTCCCTTTGGGACACCGACATTTCACAACTATAGCTTAAATGTTCCAAAGAAGAGAACACTCATGGAACAAAACTAAGAGTTCTGACTCTTAGCCCTGAACGTGAGAACTTAGGAACATGTTATCTGGACATCCTCAGTTGTCTCCCAGAGATGCTACACGTTTGGCTGGTGCATGGCTTCAGACAGCTCAACCTGATTTTCCCATTATTGATTGTTAAGACTCACAGTTCTCCTTTGAGAGAAAGTCCCCACCCAGTTCTAAAGGATTAAACCGGATTATAGGGATGCACAGAAGCAACTCATTGAAATTAGTGCAGTTAGGGGAGATAAACCAACAGGCTGAAGACATCTGCTGGTTTAGTGTAGTGCAGGAGTGCCAGCCTATACCTGAACACTGGTCTTAGTCTTCAAAGACTCTCAAGGTCAAGGGCAGAAGAAAAAATCTGAGCCATGCAAATTTCTTTTGTCACCTGAGTTCCCTGGGATTGAGGCTCTGAATGAGCACCTGTGCCTAGCTACCTTGAGTCATCACTTTCTATTCTTCACTGAAATCATTTTTAAAAAACATTAAAAAAAAACAAACCTCCTAAACTACAAATTTAATGGGATGGAAAAGGCAAAGGAGAGAACAATTGAACATAATGGTATAAAAATTACCAGAGAATCTTTATTTAAAATGAACTAAGATGAAATGGTCAGTTCTGACAACACGGACAATACCACAGGCCTACTGATGCAAATAATAACTTCACAGGTAGCTGGGTAGTTCTTCTGCATGATAAATCTGAACAACTGAGCACACAATTTTAATTAAAACTGGAAAGTATTTAAATTCTTGAATGGTTGATACTGCATTGATGGTTCTGTCTTTTCTTAAAATAGCCTTGAAACAGGGTATTCCACTCATTTTGTGGGAAATTCAAGACTTAGACAAAGATCTATTGTCAGAGAGAATGCCACTGTGACAAAAGTGCACCAATTTCCTTCTTTTGCAGTGATTTGATGATATTTAATACTTCTTGAAATAAGGGGGCAATTGGCTATACTAGGGAAACATTTCTGTGGTGCAAATATTTGTGTTCTAGTAGTATTTTTCATAGACTGTACCTGGAGCTCTACATATGCTTATGGTTCCCCCTCCTCCAAAAATTAGTGAATGAATGAACGGAGGGATATCTGTCCCCCTTCAATTCATCATTGAGACTACAGTTTGAGAATGAGACTTGGTAAACCAGGCACCACTTGAACAATGTCCAACTGAATGTACAATATATGCCTTCAATTAATATGCATAATGAACACCTAGACCATCTCCCCTATGATGGTATTCATTTTTGGAGTACAATCATTTCATGTAGCAAATACACTGTTAAAACTACTTCAGAGAAGGATAAAACTGTGGTCCCTCCTCAGACCACACCAGGCACAGTATCCCAAGGGCATGTGACTGTTTAAGCAAAAGGCATTGCCTGGATCCTTCCATAGGGCTACTAATCTAGCCTTGGGTCAATCAGAAACTTTGTTACTCATTTTTAAAATATCTAGGCAAATGTTGCTTCTAAGTATGTAACACGATAAAGCACCCTTTGAACCATGTACCTTCATTTTATTTATACTCCTCCAGTAGTCATCATCTCCTCAGGAAGGGCTTAAAACCAAAACAGTCAAGAGAGCAAGAGAATTTGTGAAGTCACAAACACACGCAGAAAAGACAACTTAGTTTCAGCTGGGTCTGCATCTAGCCAGGGAAGGGAAAACTCTTGACAACTGTGACTAAACAGAAATCATTTTCAAGACTCTGCAGTGTGGCTACACCTACTCATTAAAAGTGGAGTTGAAAGGGCATATACTGCAGGTCCTGTGTGACAAGGCACGTTGCTTAAGTTTCCTACATGTGTACAATAGACATAATGCCTTCAGAACAGAAGAACATGATGAGCTAATATAAGAAAAAATAGCTGGCTCTAAGTTCAGTTTCCTCTCCCTGCCAAGCCAGTATTGCTATGACTACCTGGAATGCGCCATTTGCTTTAAGAAAGATGCATGACAGTAGACTGCGTGTAAACACGTGGTCAGTACATACTTGGGTTCCATCTGATCTTTACATGTTTACAGCTGGATGTAGGTTCTAAACTACTGGTAATGCTTTCTTTCCCTGAAGAATAAATATTGCAGGAATTCAAGGATGACACAACATACAGCCAAGCACTCCCTTTAAGTGAAGCATGGTTGACACTCTATGCTTAATTTATAATAGGCCCCATCTGCTGATACCAATAATCTCTATCACCTTAACTAGCTACTTTCAGTAGGTGAGGCAGGAGACCTTGATTTACCTAATTACCAACCAAACGTGGAAAACTCTTTAGCACAGCAGTTCTCAACCTTAGCTGCACATTCAAATCACCTGGGGAGCTTTTAAAATTAGATGCCCAGACCACACCCCAAACCAATTACCTCCAAATACCTGTCGTTGAGGCCCAGACACCCAAATTTCTTAAAGTCCTCAGTGATCCAAGACACAACCAAGGCTGAGAACCTCTATC